AGCCCCAGTGGGGTCCTACAGCCCCCAGAGAGCCCCCAGAATGCTTGAATCCTGGACTTTGTTCTTGTCGGTGCTCTCCCTCTGAGTGGTTGCAGCAGCTGGAGGGGAGGCACGGGGGACAGGCCTTCAGTCGCTCCTGAGGATTTAGTTCTCAAGTGCCCACCATTGCCGTGGGCTCTTCAGCTGCACAACCCAGGCCCTGCACCACCACACGGTCCCTCACCATCCCCAGCCACACAGCTGGGAGGTGGTCAGACACGAGCCGGCTCTGGGTGCTGAGGAGTCCACTGGTGTCCTTAGGGTCCTCACAGTCCTGTTAGTCTGCAGGGCTAAAGAGACTGTATTTGTGGATCTTAATCCCTAAGAAAAAAAGAATTCTGCTATTCTAGGCCAACGTGGGCACTTGTTGGTAATATTTGTGACACTGATGCTTTAGGCATAACCTTATCTTACAAAGACCATAATAGCAACCCTTGGGAGTGATGTTGGTGAGGCCACCTGATGTTGTGCTCCTGACACCGTCCTTGGGCACACTGCTGGGTGCCCGGCCTCCCTGCTGAGCTCCCCAGCAAGTGGTGGCAGCTCTTCTCACCTTCTTCTCGTGAATCAGGTCCATGCTGAAGCGGATAGGCACGAGACATGAGAAACCTCACAGCAGCCTTTGACGCCAGCCTGATCTAGGAACAAAACACTTGTTTTAACTTGCAAACACGCAACATCCACCCCAAACTTTCCTACCCCACCACAGAAATGAGAGATAGGAAGGGGCTCCCAGAGCAGGCAGGTCCTGACTGCTTTCCAAATGATTCATAAGGAACGTCATAAACTCAAAGTAAATGCAACATGTTTTATTTGAGGTTGGAATAAATTACAACTGTAAAGCATAATTTATTGCTTTATAAATTGTCTGCTCTTAAAAGGCATTAATATCAAACATAAACAAAACAAAGACACATTCAATTAGCAGTTCAGTTCTCTTAAGCTTCATGAACAGCTCAGTAGGGGGATTTCATTCTACATACGATTGAAATCTCTTGATCACAGGCTCATAAACTTGACTTTGACATGCATTATCATCATTCAGACATGTTGAGGGGACTGTAGACGTGTTCATTTGCTTTAGGATATAATTTTTATTGCAATTTTCCCTAAAATATCCCATTGAATACCTAGTCCTTCATTCCTCACTGAAATACAAATCCCACTCATTTCAAAAAACTCCTTTAAAAGATACATGTGGTTTTCTACCCCTGCAGGAGGGCTTCCAAGTCTAAAACAGGAATGAGTCTGGTCCCCAAATTAAGTGAAAAACAAACTCCTCCTAGGTTAAAATACTTGAAATCCCATGTACCAAAAAAAAAAAAAAGTTTCCTCCCATTCTGAAGATTCTTGAAAAAAATCGCAACATTATCTGAACGAACTGATGTGGATCCTTCATATTTTTACTGTACAGTTACTCCATGCCTGAGACTGGTATGAATTTTGCTCAGCACCTGTACTCCCCCAGGATGCAGACCAGGCAAGTCCAGTCTGCCCTGAGTCCTGGGGGATGGGAGGGTGCTCCCGGGAGGCTTTGCACTATCCAGCCCTGCATGCATAGACGCCGTGACACAATGGGATGGATCTGACCAGCTCCAGCTAGATAGGACAGGCAGAAGGAAGGCCTAAAAGCCACTTTGTCAGCCTCCCGGGGAGTCACAGCTCCTGAACACCAGAAAGGGAATGAGCATTGATGAGCAGCTCTCACTGCACCAGGAAAAAGGATCCCACCAAGGCACCCTGCCCTGCTCGGACCCCCTCCCACTGCAAGGGCCACGTGCTCCCCGTGCCTCGGCTCCCGAACAGCGTCTCCCTGAGCTATGCCCTGAGCAGGGAGCGTGCACCTCTGCTCTGGCCTTCCCGGCTGGGTCCGGAGCAGCACAAAATGAGCTGGCCTATGCCCTGTATTACACCAGAGGTAAAACTCTCCAGAAACAGAACTGGAGACTCCCGTCTCAATTAGCCCTTGGAACAACTAAGAAAGTTTGTAGAGAAAATCTCCAGGGCAGCTTCTCTTCCAGCCACAAAACTAACTTTAAAAATAATGAGCCACCGGTACAGAAAATCCTTCTAAAACTGGCTCAGTATTACTCAGAAAGTTCCTATTTAGACAAGGTTTTCTTCTCAGACCAGCCTCTAATATTCTTGTCATGCCTCAAGAATGTAAATAGCTGAGTGAGATGCTGTTACTGAATGGGAATGGTTAAGTCTATTACTGGATCCAAGAAATAGATATCAATCTTCAAGGAAAATACTATTACATTGATCTTAGTGCAATTTCACTTTTCATTAAAATTTCATCAGTAATGTCTGTATCTTTTGCATGTTTTATGCATAATCTCATTTAAAAAAAAACAGCAAGCAAACTTCTTCTAAACACGGTTTCCTCAGAAGATGTGTTTCTGTTGTGCCATGAGGGATGGCCAGCTCTGATCTCTGCGAGGTGGTACAGCAGATTCCAGGCGCTGCGCTTGCCCATAATGGCTCCCAACAAGTCAAGCGCCATGGCAGAGCTTTGGTGGGAGGCTGGGAGCGTGCAGGACCATACTTGGGGCTGCGCAATTTTCAGCGTCCTCCTCGTTCAGGGACTGGACAACCCTGGTTTAGCTCCAAGCCACGTGGTAAAGTGCTTAACGGAGAGGCGGGGAACCCTACTGCCCCTTTCTCCACCTCAGCTCCTGCCTTGGGAGAGGCTCGTGGAAAGGTGGCATTGTGGACCTTTGCACTAGCAGAAGGATACGCTGCCTCTGGGACAAGGGCATGCATACGGTGCCTGTCGGATTCATCACCATCTTAAAGAAATGTAACTCAGAAACGTGCAAGCCTTTAAAATCATCAGTCATCTCATTTATGCTCACCAAGAACAGATTCTTGGCTGACTTCTTTTTTTCCTTAGCAGTTCTGAATTTTTCTTTGAAGATGAGAAGAAGGAAAGCTAGCCTTCAGGGAGAGGGACAAGCAGAGACACTTGCAAATTAAAATGCATGCACATGAATCCACCACAGCAGTGACCTCCAGTCTGCACTTTACAACACAAACATCTTATTATCTTGAACCTTAATTTCTCCTCCCTTTCAAAGGTTCCCAAGAGCATTCCTTTCTGTGTCAGTGAGATATCCCAGGGGACTCTACAGAAAAAAATAATGAGAGGAACAAACTGTTGTCACCAGGACAAGTATGGGGTTACATTCAAGTCACAGACTTTGGAGGAGCAGGACAGAGAGCAGCCTTATTCCATTTTCTGGTGCAAGTGCCACTGGGGATCCGTAAAACCAGCAAGACAAGCACACAGTGAGAAGGAAGATGAGCACTGAACTGGTATTTGGCAGGTGGAGTTAATTCACCCTCCCCTTGTTTGTGAAGTGATCAGAAAAAGCAAACAGTTTCTGTTAACTTCAGGGTGCTCAAACATTCCCGGCTCAGCAAATACCCCCAAAGTATTTCTCCTCTTCTAACAGCATTGCCCCTCTCAGACTAAGCATACCAGACAGAAAACCTTTAAGGAATCATACTTCTTCCAGGAAAAAAAGAACCAACAAACTTTGGTATTGCTACATTTCAGCTAAGGCTCATTTATCCATCGGCAGAGGCTCTCACCCGCCCTGATCTTCACTCCCGAGCTGCCCAGTTGCAGTGCGGTGCACTTGTAGTCAAAGAGAGCAGATCAGGAGCTCTTAAATCCATTCCCACCTTTATTCTAATTCACCCGTTTTGCCTCCGGCAAGGCACTCAGGCCAGCACCGCCTGTGGGGTTTCTGTTTAATGCACCTTCTGAGTGACTGGGGGCCAGGTCCCTACTGAACTGAGAAGCAGATGGGACAATCAGCGAGTGCGTCTGAAAGCAAAGCTGTTAACTGGTGCCTTTGCTCACGGGGAGGGCGGTGCTCAGCCACTCTACCGAAATATGGCAGGCATATTAATTAGTGGTTACAAAATGCTCTAACTTTTCACAGACTTTTATAAGTGCTGAGCATTTTAATTGGCAGGACAGCCATGCCTGAGAATTCAGTGTATTGTTAGAAACTCACATTTTCCTCCGCTACGGTCCTTCCTGTCACAAAGTGTCTCATGGAACAAACAAGCGTCTACATTGTGATTTCACCAACGGAGGAACTGGGTCAGAGATGGACGCCGGCTGGATCAGACCCATAGAGCAGATGAATGACTCAGTCAAGCGAAAACTAAGGCATTTCATGCCAGGGCCTGTGCTCCATCCCCCCCACCAGAGGTTATTAAATAGGGGACGTAAATAATCCCCCCAAAAAACTGATGTATCATGAAGGGCAAAGAGCCTCTGAAGCTACACAAAATGGCATAAAGTACAGCGCAAGTATATTACATATCTAGCTCTATCTCTGCTTCTCTGTTGTGAGGACAGTGGGTTGCTCGGACAGTTGTCTTCTGGTCAGCCTATTATGTTATTTCCTATGGAAATGCAGGTAAAGGTATGGATGCGATTCAGTAGTAGAACAGGAGTTTGGTTTTACGTGGGCTGAAAGAATGTTTCTTATACCCAAACGAGATTTTTGCATGCATCTGCATACTCACCCAGATGCTGCCTCTGCCGTGCTCCATGCCTGAGTTTCATGCCGGGTTTGCTCTGCATAGCAGGCATATCATACGCACACAGTGACCTGGTACAAGAGCACATTCTGCAGGCCAAGTCTCAGGCAAAAATTCACCTACAAAACCTAAGTGTGTCGGTAGTTTTTTGCAGTGAATCGGGCTTTCACTAGGAATTAACATAAGCTGCAATGACTAATCTTACACTCTGTACACTTGCTTATTTTCTTTTCACAGTTCAACCACTTTCTTCCTTAAGACTAAAACGCTAAAGTCTTACATACCATTAATTTCTGCTGGCTGTGTTTCCCTATGCTCTAAGCCTCTATCACAATGCATGCAGAGGATAATGGCTGAATTTGCAATGCTTTTAACTAAAAAAATACTTTTAAAAACAGAAAACATAAATTATTTATTCTTCTTCATCAATTGTTTTAAGCACTGAGTCTTCTCCCAAGATTTTACACAGTTCATTCAGTCTCTGCTGCATTTTAGGAATTCCTGCAAGCTGGGATTCCAGTCTCTGTTTTTCCTCACTCAGTGATAAACGGATAGCGGTGTCCAACTGCTCGAAACGCCAGCCGCCCTGTCCGTCAAACTGCAGCAAGTGAGTGTGGTACTTCCTGCAGTAGAAATTAAAACATTAGTAATGGCTCAGGGAACAGATAGCTCATTTTTGCATGCAAATTTGGATGTCTGTGTCTATTTTCCACAGTGCCTCTCAGGAAGTTGAGAGCTGTCCAGTTTTGGATCACCGGGTAAGAATTTTTTTCAGTCACTCATAATCCCAGGGCACCTTTTTGTAAGGGATTTGAGTATTTCAAAGCCTAGGACCTGCCTAGGCCACCGAGTGAAATTCAGCAGTGAGGTGCCAGCTATAAGCTATCGGCACTGGTGTGGGCTCCCCAGGTGTGGCGGTCACCGCCTGGAGCAGCCTTCATGGCCTCATCGAGGCCCTCCCCTGCAGTGACACTGGCAGGAGCAGGCAGCAGGGCTGTGGAAAGTCCCCACCATCTTCTGCTGTCCCTGGGCAAGGTGGCGGCCCCCCTCTTTCTCCCTCCCTCTTAGAAACATTGTCTGTGGCTGCAGTTGCCTCCACTGCAACTCCACCAGACTCCTCTTTCTCCAGGAGCTTGATGAGGAGCAGCAAACAAGGCTCCCTCCTTCCTCAGGAATGCTAAACCCAGTTAATTTTATTTACCTCACTTTCTGAGAGACATTTTACCTCCTTAGCAGAAAGTACATTCAAGCAGGCACGGTGCACCTGACACTACCGATAGAACTCTAGTTTGTTCGAATTACACCTCAGTTTGTTCCCCTCTATCCTATAAGGCTGGCTAAAGAAACCTCCAGTCCTAAAACATGGTTCAGTTTTCAAGGATCAAAATTAAAAAAGTCTGTATAGGACTCACAGATCTGTCAGTGAGTTTCAGGGTGTGTGCACGGAAAATATTCAAAGGTGTACATGTGGAGGTTGTCAAGACCTGACAAGGCATTTCTCAGGAGGTGCAAGAGGAAGACCAGAGAGTTCCCTCAGAGCTGCTGGTATGACTGTGTAATTTATCACTATAAATTATAGAACATGAGACGCATCATAAAATAGTGATTGTAAATCCCATCCAGGTAATGTGACAGTTTAATAAACTCAATAGCTTATGACATGGGACTGAAAAGAGATTAAACTCCAGGCTTATATTCACCACTTCTTGCATATTATTCTTTGTGACACCAAATGCTTAACCTATCCTTCCATTTTTTCCCCACCAAAAAAAAGAAAAACCCAGGAAACTAAGATAGCTGACCGAGACATCCAATGTTTGTGGTCTAGGAAAGCAGCCAATATTTTGATTAAAAGAGCAAATATTTCCTGGTATAATCTTGAGAAGGAGAAAAAAGCACATGAACCTGTTCTTTGTCTATGCAGTGCAATCCCTGTGGAAGCAACCCAAGTTTAAGGCATTTGCTTCTTATTTCTGAACACTCAGCACTTCTGTTTACTTCTCCAGAACCCCACAAATCACCAGATTTCTGATAATGTCAGTAGTACTGTGGAGGTTACAACAACAATCTCAAGCCTTCCTGAATAGCACTAATACTAGAAAACAAGAAATGTCAGTAGGAAACTGAACTCTAAAGGTCTTCCTTACAAGTTCTTTTGCAGAACTTTCTCCCTCTGCATCACAGAATCAAAATAGAATCATAGAATGGTTTGGGTTTGAAGGGACCTCAAAGATCATCTAGTTCCAACTCTCCCTGTAATGAGCAGAGACATCTTCCCCTAGATCAGATTGCCCAAAGCCCCATCCAACCTGGCTTTCAACACTTCCAGGGAGGGGGCACCCACAGCTTCTCTGGGCAACCTGTTCCAGCGCCTCACCACCCTCACAGGGAAGAATTTCTTCCTAATATCCAATCTAAACCTACCCTCCTTCAGCTCAAGGCCATTACCCCTTGTCCTGTCACTACATGCCCTTACAAACAGTCCCTCTCCAGCTTTCCTGGAGGCCCCTTCAGGTACTGGAAGGCTGCTTTGAGGTCTCCCTGGAGCCTTCTCTTCTCCAGGCTGAACACCCCCAAAGCTCTCAGCCTGTCCACATAAGAGAGGTGCTGCAGCCCTCTGATCATCTTTGGGGCCCTTCTCTGGACTTGCTCCAACAGCTCCATGTCTTTCTTGTGCTGGGCACCCCAGAGCTGGACGCAGTACTCCACATGGGGTCTCACGAGAGCAGAGTAAAGAGGCAGAATCATCTCCCTCAACCTGCTGGCCAATGCTCTCAAATACGTGTTTTCTTTGGTGGTTTTAAAATAATGCTAACCTTAAAGAAAAATAAAGTAATATATTTATTTTTAAGTGTAATTTAAATTATTTTAAAAACAAATATCTATGTGACATTTTTTCCTTATCAGAATACCCAATTTTTCTTAATATTTTAGTCCTAATCCAACAAAGGACTTTTCCTGTCACTATTTCCACAAAGAAAGGAGGAATGACGGGGAAATTGTTCTTTTTCAGAGAAGCAGACACTGGTACAATTTCTTTCCCTTGAGGCAATGAATTGGTAATGGATTTTTTGTCATCAGCTTAAAAAACTAAGCACTCTGACAGTAGAGATCAAGGACTTCAGAACAAATAGTCTCTGCTAATGTCAGCTTACAGCTTCTTGATCTCCTTTTGCCCTTTAAAATATTTGGTTGTTTTATGCATTCAGTAACTACATTTATTTCCTTTGAGGGACTCTTCCATAATTAGTACTCCCTCACTAGAATGATGTTTCTCAGAATTCTAATATTTCTTTTTTAATAGACAATCAAATTTTGAAAGCTCACAACCTCTGCAGATAAAGGACACAAGTTAAAACAACAGATGTGTTATTCCGATGGAAGGACAAAGAGCAGGTTAATCACTTGTCATGTTTCCCATCTTCTCCTAAGCACTGGTAAAATTCCCCAGGACAGCTCATGTATCTTGTCACCTTTACAGAATAATGTGGTGATATCTGTTGTGGCTGTGGTGGACTAATTCATTGCCTCTTAGATACCTGCATGTTGCTAATAACAGTTAATAACTGAAACACATTTTAAAAAATAAGAGGGAGGAAAAAATATGTGTCAAAGAATGAAAAAAAAAAATCAATACTAAATGCATTTACATCACTATTAATGTAGACATGTTATCTTAGAAACTGCAGTAGATATTGATTGAACAATTGCCCTAATACAAAGAATAAAGGGCAATCCGCTGCCTGTCAGAAAGCTAAAAGCAAGGACCACAATAAATCCCTGAACATACTTACCAAAGAGAAGGTCTGTGTGTTATAGAAAGCAGGGATATCCCAGCAGCTTTTGCAGCTTGGAATATCTTTCCTTCAACATCAATGCTTACAGCACTCGTGCATTCATCCAGCAATGCGTATTTTGGCCTTTCAAAACCAGATAAAGAACATTACTCTTCTATGTTTCGGACAGTATTCCCATGTACGATGTTTAATTCAAAGAACAACGGAAAGAAGAGAGCTATTTTTGCCAGATAGCTGTCTCTCATCTACAGCTGGAAGCTGGCTAGCAAAAACATAAAGTTTCCATGCATTATTCAGGTGCAGAGCCAGCTTCCAGGAAAAACAAGGGGTTTTTTCCTGGTTCATCTGAGTACACAGTGATCTAACTTCTATGTTCTAGTTTGACCTAGTATTGTTCTGTCCTGTCATCAAGTCATGTGGTAGCTACAGCCAACTCAGAAACTTTCTATCCACAGCTATGTATGGATTGGGCTGCCTTTGTGTGCTTGCAGTCTCCAAACCAAAAAGCTTGGCTTTCAAACTCCCATAGCCTCTGCAACAGTCCATCAGACTTCTGCAATAGTTGTAGGACAGATGCAGGGAAGAAGTTTGTGCCAAGATTTAACAAAGAAAGGAACATCTGGAGAATGTAATGCTATGTTGCCAAAAGCAAAGCTTAAGTAAGAAGCATTGCCTAAACTAAAAGCAGAGCTTGTATGAATAAACGACAAGGTCTGCGATCCTATGCAACCATCTAGTAGTATTGCATATTGCATGGAGATTAGAGCCTACTACTGCTCAAACTATGACAGCAAACCTGCAAAACTCTTCCTCATTTTCAGATGCTACTTAAAGAACAAATCAAAATTCTTACTTATGGTAAAACATCCGAGCCATGCCCATCCTTTGTTTTTCTCCTCCTGATAGGACATCTTTCCAATCCATGATGGCATCCCAGCCTTTAAAAAAAATGCAAACAAAATGTGTCAGGACAATGTAAGTTTGTGAAGGAAATGCAGCTTCACTTGCAACATCTCTGCAATCTGCAACCGAAATCATAAAGATCATTTCCATTGCAGAAGAGACAGCTCAGGGTTCTGGATCACATCTTCTGAAACACCTCAATGCCTTTCCACTGGCACTCAATTGGAAGAATGTCCCAAATATCATGTCAATTTTGAAAGTGAAATTTAACCCTCTTGGTCATGTAGGTATTGTCAGAAACTTTACTTACCATGTCTTTGAAAAAACTTTTACCTGTGTATAACTAATTGTTTTATTCCATCGTGTTTGTTTTATAGAACAATTTGCTATTCCTTCTTGAAAGGTGTGAGCAGAAATTTAAAAACTAATTCAAAGAAATAAAGCATAAAAAACATAAAGAGCAGTGCTGGACTCCGCTCACTACTGTAGGCAAAGGATAACTGCCAGCAAACTCAACAGAAGCACAGATGCAGACCCAGGCATGCATTCTGTGTGCACAGACAAGAAGCTCACATACAAAACTGCAAACAGACAGGAGGATTTTCTATACAAACTTCCCACTACCTTGTATTTAGAAATGACCCACAACTGTTATAACACTGGGTATCCTTATTAAATATTCTGCATGGCTTCTAACTGATTTTTTTCTTCATCACTTTCAGAGACATGCAACGGGAGTGTGATGCATTTTATCTGCGATCTCTCGGCAGACTGGGGTTTCTGTGAGTACTCTGGCATGATTCATTCCCAGTAATGAAAGACGTCAAATACCAAATTACCCTACCAAAAAAGTTTTCGGTCAAACAATCCAGATGATAGAGTAGCAAAATAGATGAGTTTTGAAAAGGGCAAGTGTGCATGTAGAGAAAATCTGACAAGACATTTCTCTCAATAGATCATCTATTCATGAGACAGGCAGCTGGAGTGGGGCCGAGCGAGGAAGAGAACATTTTTCCAAATCAGCCCAGAAGCACTGTAACTAAAAAAATAACACCACAACCAAAACCTCTTTTCCGCCACTGTCCAACTGAACATAAACATTTGCCAGAAAAGACTATAAACAGGGTCAAGCAAGGAGGCTGGGCTGTGTCATTTCTGATACCTGAACAAAGGTGGGCCAAGTGGGGCTCATGAAGGTGCAGGAGGCTGGGGAGTGCTCTGCCCCCGCTTGGTGCTACACTAGGGCTTGGTAGGTCTGAACAAAACTCAGTGAAGCATCTGGTGAGAGGTTGTGTGACTGAAAACAGGAATTGATAATGCTAGAGACTGAATTCCAGGCATTTTCTCTATGTAAATTTGTAAAATAGAATGTAATAATTTTTGAATATCTGTGTATAGAGTTAAATTTAAAAACCAGGCATGCACACAGCAGAAATACATTACCCTTAGTGATCCTATTGTTTTTCTCTAGTTTCCTTCTATTCGCATTTAAGGATCCCAGTGGGCACCTCCCCCGGGGGCACATACAGCGCTTTCTATCAGCAGGCTCCTAGCAAAGACGGAGTTGTGTAATGATTAACTGAATCACCAGGTGGACGAATGCTGGTGAAGGGAGCAGATACACAGAGGCTGCTGCTGCTGAGCAGTCCCAGTGCTGGGACCACACAGAGAGTTGGAGGAGTGCTGTTCCACCAACACCTTCAGCTTCCAAAAAAAGACTGTAAAGCACCTGGAGCGCTCCTTTTTGGCAAAGGGTTCTAGGGCAAGGGATGGGAATGGTCCTTCATGAAAACCATAGAAACATCTATGCTTCTGAACACAATGTTCAGGCTGCTGCTTATATTTTGTTATTTTTAAGCTGAGAATACAGATGAGCTCCAGGGATCTGGATCTGAGCTAGGGGGTGGGTGGGTGTGCATGTGTCCACCTGTGCCTGCGTTCATACCGCTTCTTCCTGATCAGCTGCTTCGTAAAGACTTATTAGAAGACAAAAAAGGAATGAAGTTCAAGAAGAAGTGTCATGTTATCAGTAAAATCATTCTATTATTTCCTCTAAAGGTGCAAGATTTAGCCTTTGTTTACCAGGATACAATGGTCATCTCTGTGGTCACTTCAACTTACATTCTAACTGAATATTAGAAGTGCGTGTTGTCTCTTCCTGCCTAGCTCCCTCCCTGAACTTTCCTGTTTGCCATTTGGAATGTCTCAATCAACAGATAAGAAAAGACCCATTCTAATATTATCCCTTTTAAAAATTATTTTCTAAGGTCTGAACAATTTCCTCTGAACACTTAGGCATTGTAACTCACAATAAACTGACTCCCTACTGGGCACTAACAATAATGCACCTCTTGTTTCTTTTTTCTTCAAAAACAGGTCAGTGAAGGTTGTTAGTGTTCTGAAAATATCTGCCAAGTCAATGGCTTACGTCACCCACTGCTACATCCACTACACAAATGAAGAAATGAAATGGCTTGTCTGTGAACGCAGCACACAAATCTCAGTGGTTACAAACGTAATTTTCCTGGTTTCAGCTGAGAGAATTGATTTTCTTCATAGTAGCTAGTGTGGGGATATGTTTTGGATTTGTGCTGGAGACAGCATTGATAATATAGATGCTTTTGTTCTATGGACCTATTGATGAGCAGTGTTTACATGGGGCCACGGCCTTTTCTGCTTCTTGCACTGCCCTGCCAGCGGGATGGCTGGGGGTGTACGAGGAGTTGGGAGGAGATACTGACAGGACAGGTGACCCAAACTGACCAAAGGGATATTCCATACTATATGATGTCACACTCAGTTTATAAGGAGCTTGGGGGAAGGGGGGGGGCATTCAGAGCAATGGCGTGTGTCTTCCCAAGTAACCGTTACGCGTGACAGAGCCCTGCTGTCCTGGAGATGGCTGAACACCTGCCTGCCCATGGGAAGTGGGGAATGAATTCCTTGTCTTGCTTTGCTTGTGCGCACGGCTTTTGTTTTACCTGTTAAACTGTCTTTATCTCAACCCACGAGTTTTCTCACTTTAACTCTTCCAGTTCTCTCCCCCATCCCGATGGGGAGGGAGTGAACGAGCGGCTGCGTGGTGCTCAGCTGCCAGCTGGGGTAAAACCACGACAATTGCACATGGTATGAGGTAGGTGTGATGAACATTAGATGTCACAGAAATGCCTTTTGCAACCAGTAAGACAAAGAGCATGTGTAATCTGCTGGGGCAGAGTAACAGCAGTAGAAATACATACAGATGTCAGCAGCAACTAGTAATAGCCTCATGATAGCAGCATTTCATTTTCTTCCATGACTTCTTTTATAATTCCTTTTACCTCAATTTTCTGAAGGAAAAAGCAAGCTAAATTTGACAACAAAAAATGGGTTATGCCTGGGGTCTGCAGCGCTGTGAATCTTCATTCTCGTGAATCCTCACACTTACACGCAAGACAAAGCATTCAGCTGCCATAAACCGATACGCTTAAAAGTTCCTTTTCTAGATCTACATTACAATGCACCTCATTTGACATGGACTGGAGTGGTACAGCTTCATGACAGAAGAAAGGCTACCACAGCAAACTACAGCCAGAGAGTCCACCCCTGGTGAGCTTTTGAACATGGAGGCCTCTTGCACAGCATATGTCCCCAGGCAGTTGTCAAAATGGAAGACAGCCTGAGTGTTGTGCAGGATGAATATGCAAGGGCAATCCTTAGCTGAGGAAGGAACAAAGAGACCATCAATTGTGTGAGCCCCAGCTCAGCATGACGCTGCAGGGATTTGTGTTTCTGGATTTCAGAGCCACTGGAAAAGCTGGCAGAGCATTCCAGAGTTCCAGCTGGTACCAGTAACCAAAGCAAAACCAGGGCTAAAATGATCAGATGAAAAAATCCCAGAGAAAGGAAATGTGCTTGGCTGTGTGTTTATAGGTAGCCTAGCACAAAGGTTCCCTGGACAAGACCCAAAGATATGACAAATGTGCAAAATAATGAGGAATAATTATAATCTGGGGTGCTGAGAAACCATGAACAGGTTGAACTTGTTGAGTAATATCATCAGCCCCAACCTGACAGGCCCAGTCATGCATTCAGCGTGCTGCTACACGTACTCATGGCTCCTCTCATGTGACAGGCTGCCACATGACGATTGACACTTGCTAAATATACACGGATTTTCAAAGCAGATCAAAAAGGAACCATGTTATGTATATCTACTGCACATCTCCATGCTCTTACTCAAGACTTCTGGACATGCCTTTTCACCATCCGTGCTGAATACAACCTTCTTTGCTACCCTCATTTTGTATGACATTATTGTTCTGGTAGAGCAAGCAATTTTGCAGGTGTTGATGGGGACACCTTATTGATGATATAAAGGCAAGTAACAAAATGGCACTCCTCTGACATCCAGATGGTGAGAAAAATATCAGTGTGGGATTCAGTAGGAAGGAAATTTTGCCCCTGGCAGCAAGGGGTGCTACTGCCAGCAGCAATTGCACTGGGTTCTTCCAGGGCTCGGGCTCAGGGACATCCAGAGTGGTGTTGGTGAGGAGGGGGATTGCTATTTTGGTGGTTTTGATGGATTCTGTTGCTAAGGACTGTTTCATGAGGGTAACACAGAAGCTAAATGCCAAACTGGGCTACTTACTCCTGTAACCATTCTCTTTACTTCTAACTAACTGGGTCAAATCTTATTGCTAGAAAAAAGAGAGGAATTTCTGCCATCGGCAGCAACAAGAATAATGTCAGGCTCTTGTTGGCTACTTTACACTTGGAATCTGGTGACCCTTGTACTGATGCAATGTGGAAGTAATTCAGCTAAAGACAATAAAGTTATACCAGGACAAATAAATTGAGTCAGAGTTGCACACTTCTGGCTCAATCTGGCTTTTTCATAACTGCCCACAGGGATCAGAACACAAAACTGCAAGGCATCATATTATACACGCATGACATTTGTGGTCAATTAAAGCACAACAGGGTCATGCCCTAAGGAGCCTGCTGTCCAGTAGAAGCTTAATTCTGCAGGGGATGGGTGAAAGGGGAGAAGACAGAGGTAAGGCTCTGAAGGAGAAGAAGTTCTATAGAAAAAAATATTGAATAACGATTGATAGACAGCTAGCTCTGTTCTTAGAACAGTTTATGGAAACAGTTCAAAACAGCATGGACAAGAATATATATATCCACAAGAATCTGAATAACTAAAAATGGTTTCATACATTTTTCTTTCAGATGTAGTACATTATCAAAAAGTGTATACAATATATAAGTAGAAACTTGCTGGGAATTTTTCAGTAAAACTTTTTTTCTATTGTCAACCATCAAAGCAGTTTGCAAAAAGGAGAAAGATGGTTTGGGGCAAATCCCTTGTTCTAAAGCTTTATATGGGATTTTTCATTATTTTGCAAAGAAAAGAGTTCCAATTTTAATAGAAATGATTTTAAGTAAAAGAATAAAATAAAAATTAGAATTAAAAAATCATTCAGCTGTGTATAAACAAAAATTTCAATTGTTCATTTTCAACAAGTATTTCTCTGGCTTGCTGGTTCAAAAAAACCAGAATATGAGTCTTTGTCCCAAATTGGGGGAGCTCTAAAGAATATGTAAGCAAATGAAATCCATGGAACGTGTCAAATCATATGTCACGGATTTCCTCTCTACTCCTACCTTCGCACTTGTCTCCTGTAAAAGTCCAAGGAGAAAAGGGAACAAGTAATGTATTATGGTCCTAAAAACTTCCTGGTATGTGGTAATCTCTCCCCCTGTTTTCCGGCTCTGCCCGCTTCTGTCATTTTAGATTGCAAAGTACCTAAGACATTTTTTTTAACATTTGTTTGTGCACACTTTTGCACAGTGTGCCCTTATCCCGAGTGCAGTTTCAACAGCGCACCAGTGAACATTAACAGTGGCCTCTAGACTTTTTTACAGATTGTGTGTTTCTTGCCTGTGCAGTCAGACAGGCAAAAGAGCAAGAATGGGGTCAGCAATAAATACTTTCTTTGGCAGGGAAAGTAGAGCGAGACTGATCCAAACCTGGGGTTTCAGTTTAGCAACACAGAACACTGACCCTAGCCAACGGCATCTCGTACGTGGAGCAGTTACACGCTCCAGCTGCGGCGTTATAAACCACAACGATGTGCATTCAGAGACTGCTGGGGATATGGTTTTGGCCACTGAGGGTCATGTGTTGTTCAGTACATCTACAAGTACCAGCAGGCTATGAACGCACACTCCGCAGTGGCTTCTCGCCACTGACAATTAAACCGCTCCTCCTTTTCCAGCTCCCCATTCCAACACATCTGCTTGTTCTTCTGCAATCTGGGTACTTCGCTTAGTGAGGTAAGTGAGTCAGGAATACTAATATGAATAATGTCAGTGCAAGGAGTAGAGGCTGCCTCCGCAATTATTCTGGTCACTGAGTTTAGCTCTCTGCCCACTTTTTCAGTCCTTGTGTTATAGTATCAGATCTGAATAACAATATGAATCAGAATGATAGCAGATTCTTATTTTCTATTGCAACTTGAGGGCCAACAGTCATTATTACATTCTTAAAGAAGCATTAACACGTGGAAAGATAAGAGTCTATCAACAGGATTGTGAGGTGGAGATGTATTTGCAGGTATACAATTGTTGCTGTAAATGTTACTACTCCCCACTCTAAAATGTGCAGAAAAGACGTCAGATGAGTGTCCATGCATACTTCAAAAATAAAATACACCTTCTGCCTTTTGAACAGAGCAACAGGCTGCCATCCAGGAATGGGAATCTAGACGTTGCCTTTGGATTTCCAGTGGCTGAAGGACTACTCTCTATTGTCAGACTGATCCTGAGAGCACACATGCCAAGCACACACATTACAAGGCAATGCACCCAAAGTACCCTCTCAAAAAGGAGCACTGACAGCTGGCAGAGAGAGGCAGGGTGCATCCAGCACTCCTAATGTCAGCTCCTTAAAGGGGGCTGAAGATCCTCCTTTTTCTCTCTAAATGTTACCGACTTTGTCCTACGTCTGTTTTAAAAGCATAATGATGGGGAGGAAATTCAAACCAGAGATTAGTGGCTAGTGGGAACAAAAGGATGAAAATTATTGCTATGTTTGGGGAAAAAATCTCCAGTTCCTTAGACACAAGAGAAGTCTTTAGTATCTTTAACCATTAGCACTGTGCCAGTGCATTTACACTGTCTCCTATTCTTAGGACAAACAACACTGAGAACACATGGCAACTTAAACAGCAAGTGGTAGGTGGCAACGCTCTACTGCCAGCCGGTGTTGTTTGGTTATTTTTAACTTGTTCACCTTGGTGGTGTGGTATCAGACATTCCTTCTCATGGCACATAGTCCTGCTGATCCCACAAACCAGGGAGGTGAAAGCAGACCTGACTCTATTTTCATTCACATGCTTTCGAGTTGATGTAGTCAGTGACATTACAAGGTTTTAAGACAGGTTACATTTTCTAAGAAAATGAAGGAAGGCCAGTGATCTCACAGTACCATGAAAAGACTGGCCATTTCAAGAGAACAAGGATGTTCAGCTTGATCATGGATTTACTGGGGAGGAGAGAAGCCCTTAGCTCTTCTCCTTCTGTTAGCATCAGGAGCAACAATCATGTAGTTGTGCAGCTCCCGCAACCACAAAAGGTTTGGATCCAGTCTTGCCAGTTCAGTAAGTAAAGGTCAGTCACACTAAGACACACACGCGAGGAATGGATTTTGTAAAGCTTTTTAGAAAAATATGCAATTTACCTCCTTCTCTTTGAACTATGTGGTACAGATGAACCATATGCAGGATACACTCCAGATCTTGATCTTGGTAGCCTTTCTCGTGCATGTCATCCACTGAGTCTGGATAGATTACTTGATCACGTAGTGTTCCAATGGACATGTAGGGTCTGAGAAACAATACAGAGAAACAGGTAATCTGGAGCTGGCTCCAAGCAAGAGCATCTTGCTGATGCTCTATAAGCAGAGTATAATGCTTTAAACACCATGTTGCTAAAACTGGAGTTATCTGTGGGTGCATTGTGGGTGAATGTTTTTCTAAATTTACCCTAGGGACAATGTATTGTTTCCATAACAGTAGATTACAGGGTAGCAACAGGGGTAGTACTAGCATGAAAACAAAATGACAGATCAGGCAGAATAAACATCCACTTCACAGCCCATTCTGAATGCTTTCACTTGGAATCAGGGAAACTCTATGCTGTATTCAAGGTTTGGTACGCTCAGAGATTTAGAAATTGAATTAAACACTCACATGTTAAAAGCAAATTGTAACAAGAGCGTTGCAGCTCAAACTGGGAAAGACTTCCATGGAGCAGCAGGAGACACTCAAGTCAGGCAGGAGAGCATTGAAAGCCTCCTTTGCACCCTACTATTCTGGGCTGCTGAACTGGGACCGGGCGTAACCTAGCTGGTGCTAGAAGCCAGAGAAACACTTCTGAGTTGCAAAAAAGCATACATTAAAGAAGATGATCAGTTTAAAACTCCCAGCACCAGCCTCCCTTTGCCAAGCACAAGGCTGAGCCGTATGTGAAGCAGTTTCTGAACCACCATGTTCCCAGATCAAGTATTACCATCCATCTTACTAATATAAGCTGTCCCCACTTTGGAGTCAGAGTCCTCAATCATGGACGTGTCCCTGGTATGGCTATAGACAGTCTCCACAATGTGATGAGCTGTGCCCAGCCTCTGGTACAGCCCAGGTGCCCAAAATCCTCCTAGTCTCTAAATGAAGTCAGCTCAAAGAACAGTTTTACAGCCCTCTCAAAGATACCAGGCCATTCAGGCTAGAATAGCAAAGGCAATCTAACACACATCTATTTGACCATCTCTTTTGCTGCTCTAGTTCTAAGGATTTCTTGCAAAGGACAAATATCCATCCTGTCCCACAGACACTGCTGATAGTTCTTGGAAGCTGGAAACACCCTGGGAATGATCTGTGAGATTTTGAGTTTGGAAGGGAAGGCCAGAGCCGAAGAACAAACAGGCTCCAGACTCTGTCCTGCTCTCTGTGCCAAGAGTTACACTAAGTCCCTCTGGGTTCATCTGCCAAAACAATGCTGGTCTTGTTAAAGCGGTGGTGCCAGGGGATGATGACAGAGGAGCAGTTAAAATTGGGCCAGAAACAAGGAGGCTTCCAGGCAGCTTGCTTCCAACAACTTCACGGTGCGTTCACAAGGGGTCAGTTTTCTTCCCTGAAGAGCTCTGGACCTGTGTGGTGGGAAGGTCTCAACCATGCAGAGACTTTTCCTGACAGAGATGTGCAATACCTTAGCAGATGTCTTCCCTTCCCTTGGAGGTGTCTCTGCAGAAGGAGTGGATCTACCCATTGTTAAAATATACCACAGAGTAATTTGAAGGAATTCATAATGCAACAGATGTAGAATTCCAGAACTAAAGCTGCAACATGAACTGAAAGTCCCATTCAAACTGGCATCAGCTGCACTGGTTTTAGCACTGCAGACAGCCGTGGTGAACTGCCTGTACCTGCCTGGAGTTACACTACTTTCACCTCCAGCTGGGTGAGGGTGGGAAGGGCAGGGGAGCTGAACTGCTCACAAATATTTGGTCATCTCCCTGCTGTGGGCAGGCACCCAAATGGAGCAAAACCAGAACCACAAGTCAAATACAAGCATTGCTGCTCCTCTTTGCTCATTGTTATGCTTTCTGCTTATTGTGGGAAGAGTGCTGCTCTGGGCTGCTGCATGAACACTAGCATCAAGTGCAGTAAACCATTTACATTAATGGGGATATTGCAAAATCTCAACTCTAAACATTATGTAACTTCATGAAGTAATGACATATTACATTTCCATAGTGCTCTCCATCTAAAATCCCAAAGGGCTTTACTTCTTACATATGTAGAAATCACTTTTCGCTCCAGACTGCCGCCATCTCTGGGACAGAAGACAGCAACTCCACCTGGGCTCAGAAAAGTTTAAATCAGGTTGTGCATAAGACCGTGCAATTCAGGTGAAGCTGCAGGTAAGGGCAAGGAGGACAGAGTTACCTATCATATAATTTGTCTGGGGTTTAATACCTTACTCTTGTGAAGTATGATACTGTAATGACTAGCAGCCCTGAGATTTAACCTACAGCACAACCGGGAAGGCAATGCTCAAAAGCACCGTGCCAGGACACTTGTTGCCATGCTGTTTATTGAGTCACCAGCACTCCTTCCTGGTACAACTGGATTTTCCTTGTGGCATCCCATCTAAACGCACCCATACTACCAAGCACACCTCTCCCCACCTAGTTTGTAAAAATTAAAGAAAAGCCCAGCCTGCAGTGGAATAGCAAATCCCATCAATTACTGACTAGCAGAGAGGAAGAATGGCTTATGGTTACGGGTCTGTCCTGGGAAGTGGGAGAGTACATTCTGCTTCTTCCATCCTTTGGGGAGCCACTCATGTCCCTGAGGGGACACTCATCTTGCTTGGCATGAGATGTCTCATTTGGGGCCCCAACTCTTGATAACAAAGAAAGGCACCTCTGTGGTTGGTTTATCCCATTTATTTTAGGGTGGGGATAGATTGCCTCCTGAGGGTGTGTTCTCCCTCCATGGGGGACAGAGCCCAGACAACTAACTTTGATAACTAACTTCTAAAGTGCTAAAGTTAGATGAGATCTCATCTAACTCATACTGTCATAATCTCATACTAAACCAGATTTCTCTACCCCTAACTTGAAGACAATAACCTCATTACCTATCGTGGGTGCCACAAAGTCAAACACCCTAAAACCTGTTAAACATCAGATGTTATTGCAATTGAGGTTACGTACGTGTGATAGTGAGACATTAAGGAGTATAAAGTATGGGTAACTGGATACAGCAACAGTGAAATTTTGGCTTTGCCATTAAGTTCCTTGTTAAAATACTGTTTTCATTAAATATTTAGCACTTCAAACAGCAGAAAGAATCTTTTTGTCCTGAAGTAATACTTCAGTTTAACTGGACTTAATTGACTTCTGATGGAGTTTTTCCTTTCAGCCAGAGTGTCTGGGTTCCAGTCTCAAAGAAAGCACTTTTACAAACCCAGAAAGCAACTCCTCTGCTGCACAGAAGTCATGTCTTTGACAGTAATAGCTCTGCAGCTGTTCCTTCTTTTTTCTTTCCTTCTTTCTTTCTTTCTCTTTCTTTCTTTCTCTTTCTTTCTTTCTTTCTCTGCTCTCTGAAAAAAGATTCCTACACTGTTTTTGAGAGACAGGATTTAAGATCACTAATCCTTTTTAAAAGCTTTGGTATCAAACCTCCAGAAAGCTAAGAAAACTTACTGATTCTTGCCTGGTTTTCTGGAATGTCAAGGCATTTATTGGAAGAGATACTTTCAGTTCTCACAAACTGATCTTCTTTGAGTTAGTTTGATAGTTTTATTGCCTCACCAATTTTTGTTTGGTGCACTTAGTGCTTCACTATGCAGAGCTGTAACTTCATTCTGCTAGTAACAAGCCATCACCCCTAAGGCTTATGGCTTCCCCCTTGCAGTGCAGGCTTTAGAGAAAGATAATATCAAGACATGCTGCAATCTGAAGCCTGTGGGATGAACAATTCCCCAGTGCCCTATTGACACATGACATTGTGTACAATGTTGGCAAAATACTAGAGAAATCATATGGGGAGGAAGGGCAAGTGTTGCCTATGATGTGGTCTCTTTACTGCAGTTAGCTTTGGGGAGGGAGAAGGAGGATGGTGCTACAAAACATATCAGGGTACATACCAGCCACTTCCCTTTCCAAACAGAGGACTTACACGCTGGAGCTGTGAGGCATAGAGAGGTATAATGCCAATTCAAAGGGACTGTGGATTAACACTGCATGCTGTAACCAGGCAGTACTAACATCTAGTAATTCTCTGATGTCTTGAATAGCAGAGGACTTCACTCTTTTGGTTAGCAAATTCAGGAAGATGACTGGCTTAGATGTCAAGAAATTTCTGTTCCAAAATCAGATCAAGCCATATCCACTTGAAATGTTTACAAATACCTTCTGAATATATTCAAAGGTGTTTTCATCTTCTATGCAAAATAAACTGTGCTGACAGAACTGATAACCTGTTCTGACATCTGTAATATTATTTTAAAGATTTATTGCAACTAATCAATATGCACTCTGAGAGTCTATAAAGTAATCTGAATGGTCAGAGCCTTAGTTATAAGCACCCTGGAATAAGAAAGGGACCAAAATATATCTAATTAAGTTAAGGGATATTAGTCCAATGTAAGTGCCCAAGGAACTGCTTCCAGGTACAGTCTGAGGCTCACTTCACGTTCCTTGGCACACACTATGATTAACGCTTCCTCCATGGAAGGTCAAGTCTAAAAACATGTGGTTTGTGATTCTGGAATCCACCTGCATGCCCAAAACTGAGCAATCAGGACCTGACTTGCCATTTGCTGTTCAAGTGTGTTTACAGTTATTATTGTACTATTATTCTCAGATATATGCAAAGTTATGTGGGAAAATTATGTATAATGCAACTATAAACTCTTGACTGACCCATCTTTTGAGTTTCTGTCTCTGGCTGACACAATGTGTCTCCAATAAATCCAAGTAGGAGAGAGAGAAGGAAACACTACACCTGGGATTCTCCTTTTTGAAGAAACTGCAGGTTGGATTTTCAAAGATTGGGGTGGCTTCAGAGTGCAATTCAGATTGCTTGCTTTTACATCTAAAATAAAATGTATTCCAAATTTAGGCACTTCTATTCAAGAAGATGATATTGGAGCCCATGGAGTCATCTTCCCAGGAAACTTGGAAGATCTTAAGGAGTCAGTGCTTGCACTGAAGAATCTCCAGTCCAGAAAGCCAAGGGCACAGCTCACACATACAGCTGTGCCCAAATGCTAATTCTCCAGAAGGTCCAGTACAGCATGGAACATGAAAGCA